TGACCTGAGCCAAAGGCAGAGGCTTAACCCACTGAGCCACCCAGGCACCCAGACATATTTTTTAAAACAAGCTTTCTGCTCCTCTCTCCCTCTCCTTAGACTCTCATAATATATAGTTTATCTTAATGGTGTCCCATCAATCCTATAGGCTTTCTTCATTCTCCTTCATTTTTTTCCCTTTCCTTTTCTCTGACTGGATCATTTCAAATGATCTGTGTTCCCACTGAGTATTTACCCCCAAAAATGAAAATGCTGACTGGAAAAGATATATACACCCATGTGTTTATTGCAGCATTATTTACACTAACAAAGATGTGAAAGTAACCCAAGTGTCAATCAATAGATGAATGGGTAAAGAAGATGTCACACACACACACACACACACACACACACACAAACTGAAATATTACTCAGCCATAAAAAAACAATGAGATCTTGTCATTTATGACAACATGGATGGACCCAGAGGGTATGCTAAATGAGATAAGTCAGAGAAAGACGGATACCATATGATTTTACTTATATGTAGAAACTAAAAACAAAACAAATAAACAAAAAGCAAAAACAAACTCATAAATATAGAGAACAAAAATTCTCTCTCACAGGAGAGATAATTAAGGGATGGGCAAAATGGGTAAAGGGAGATGGAGATACAGGCTTCCAGCTATGGAATGAATAAGTCACAGGGATAAAAGTACAGCATAAGGAATATAGTCAATGGTATTATAATAGCATTGTATGGTGACAGATGATAGCTACGCCTGTGGTGAGCACAGCATAGTGTATAGACTTGTCAAATCACTACATTGTACACCTAAAACTACTATAACATTGTATATCAACTATACTTCAATAATAATAATAATAAATCATCTGTGTTCAGATTCACGGATTCTTCTTCGTTTAGTCTGCTATTGAATCTCTTCGTTGAATTCTTTATTTCAATCCTTGTATTCTCCAGCTCTAAAATTTCTGGCATCCTTTTTGTGTTTTTCTCTTTGTGGGACTTATCATTTCATTCTTTTTTAATTTTCCTTATTTCATCAAACTGTTTATCTGTTTTCTCTTGCAGCATTCTGAGCATCTTTAAAATAATTATTTTGAATTCTTTGTTAGGTAATTTGTGAATCTCTACTTCTTTGGGGTCTATTACTGGAAGTTTACTATATTCCTTTAGTGGTGTCATGTTTCCTTGATTCTTTGTGATCCCTGTCACTTTTGTAGATGTTTGTGCATTTGAAGAAGAGTCAGCTCTTCCAGACTTATGGAATGACTTTGGTAAGGAAAGACCTTCAACTGTAGTTGGAGGCATGCTGGAACATGCTGTGACCCTTGGTCTAGTGTTGCAGGATGCCAAGTGTGAGGACATGTAGTGCCTGTAGATGGGGAAGGGTGGGGGTGACATGGTGTCTCATTGGCTCAGGAAGCTATGATCCATGAAATCAACAACTGCATGATCCTTGGTGACAGCTACAGGCAGTGCATAATGGCTGCAAGGACTGTTGGATTATTTTTTTAAGATTTATTTTATTTTATTTTAGAGAGAGAGCGAGAAAGCGAGCGCACGTGAGCAGGGGGAGGGGCAGAGGGAAAGGGAAAGAATCCTAAAGCAGACTCCTTACTGAGCACGGAGCCAGACATGGGCTTGATCCCAGGACACCAAGATCATGACCTGAGCCAAAATCAAGAGTCATACCCTTAACCAACTGAATCACCATGGTGCCCCAGGACTATTGGATTCTTTAAGAGAACGTCTAGTCTACTGGCTAGAGACCATGCCAGACAGTGATAGTGGCCATAGCCAGACAGTGTGCACGCAGTTGGCTATGGGGCCAGTTGAGGAGGTTGGCTGCAGGGACCAACTGCTAACAGATGTGTACTAGTGAAGTCTAAGGCCTTCAGCAGGGGGCTGGGGACAACTGCAGGCAAATAGGCAGCTACAGTGGCTCTGGCTGTCACTGTGTACATGTGTGACTATAGGGGCTAGCTGTAGGCACATGTTTGGCAGGGGAGGCCAGTGATGGGAGTTGGGGTTGGTGCCTTGCAGGTGTACAACTGTAAGGTTAACTGCAAGTGAGTGGAGCTGTGCAGACCAATGACAGGGGTTAGGGTTCAATCTAGATCCACCAATAGCTTTATAGACCTTGGCTGTTGGCATATACCTGTGGGGCTGCAGGAGCTTGCTGTGGCATATGCATAGTGGTAGAGGCTGATAATGGGAGTCAAGCCAGCAGCATGCAGGTAAATAGCTGTAGGAATTTCCTGCCATTATCAGCAGTCATCTCTCTCTTACCCTGGCTTTTCTTTCCAAGCCTTACCTTTAAGTATTCATCAGCAAGGGTTTATCTTTATTTTTTTTTTCTTCTAGAAGATATTCTTATTGGGTGAGCTCCACTAACATCCTCCTGCAAATGCATCTTTCTGTCAGTACCCAGGGGTTTAAGAATCATGAAACCTAGCTAAATGACATTTCTGACCTTCTATTAGTCTGACAAATCAGAATCGTGTATGATTTCTCTCTTACACTGGGAAACCCCTTCCTCAGAGATAACTGGCTACCCTGTCATACATGACTGACAGTCTTGCCAATCAAGATGCCAAATGCTGCAATTCACCAATTTATAAATCTATTGGGAATGCATATAAAGGTCTCTTAACAGATTCACAAAAATTCTGTCTCATAGCTGATAATCTAAGTACAATGACTCTAGAATCTCATGGGTGGGAGAGTGAGGTGTGCAGAATGCTATCCACTTTGAGTAATTAAAATGCAAGTTAGTACTGTTCAAACTGGACAGTGCTTCTGTCATTTTCCGAAGGACTTGATTCTGCACAACCTCCTACCAATGCACCATAATATATTTCAGTGTCATTAAGATTCTTACTGGAAATGTCTATCAGACTACTGAATAGGTATATTAAACGTGTTAACACCTCCAAACGCAAACTCTTATCATTCCTCCAACCTGTTTGTTCTCTCTTTTCCTTATTTCATTAAATGGCATCATCATCCACTCAGCCTTATAAATATGAAAAAATCATATTATTCACTCCGTGAACCTCAATTATTTCTCTTTCACTCTTTAGATCCAATTTTGCCCCCAATCCTGATCATCATATCTGTTTTACTTTAGGTTCCCACAGAATAGACCGTGATCCAAGGAGTTGAGTACAAGTTCATCGGGAGGCGGTTCCAGGAAACAATGGTAATGGAGTAGGGAAGTAATACAGAAAAATGAAGGATGCCTGTATTTTTGGGCAGGTTGCACTGTAGGCAATTGAGGTTCTATCCCATTGGGGAAGTCTGGGAGACAGAAATGTTCCACCTATGGGACTCTATGCAACTTCCTATCCATTACTGACTGAGGGCTTCTCCTGTAAGATACCAACTCCCAAGCCCTTCTTGCCTTTCCCCACATTTGGACTGGCAGGAAATGCTCAGAATTCCAGGCACTTGCGGTCAGAAACCATGCACATATACAAAAGTGAAGCTGAAGGGGTATGGTTAGGGTATTGGCAATGTCTGGCAGAACCTAGACTAGAGTGAGGGCCATTTACTGCAGATGCAACATTTCAGTACAAAATTTACCTTCATGCTCTCTTTCTCCAGTGTTCCATAGTTCTAGTCTTTGCTGGAGGAGGTAACTTTTTAAAGACACCAACTTGATCACATCTATACTGTGCTTAAAAAGCACAGAGTAAAGTCCAAACTCCTTGATTCAGCATGATTAAACTTTACAGATGGAAAAGTGACCTTTTCAGCCGCATCTGCCATTTTCTTTTATATAAGTACGCTCTGCTCCATCAGTGTTTCACTTTTTGAACTTGAACGTGTGTATTGCTCCTTCTCCCTCAAATACTCTTCCCCCCTCCTTTACACAAAAATGTCTTATTAATCTGTTAAGATCCAGTTTAGAAATCTTTCTGTGAACTTCCTTGACCTCCCTGGGAAAAGTAATTGCTTACCCTCTGTGTTCCTTAGCATCTTACATGCACGTCTACATTGGCACTTTGCAGATTAAATTGCCTCTGTTTATCCCTTTTTCCATCACTAAACTAGGAACTCTTCAAAGGAAGTTTTCTTGTCTCCCCAAGCACAGGTCTTACTCATCTTTTCAACCCTGATATCTGCCTGCATAGAGAAGGCCCCCAGTAAAGGTTTATTGCATTGGATTTATCTGGGTACATCCAAAAGAATGGATTTTAAGAGAAATGGAAGGGAGCTTCTTAGCAGTTTCAAGAGATGGACACCATAAGAAAAGAAAGCAGTCTGTGAGCATGTACAATTGGGACCTACCAAAGAAATCTATTTAATATTATTTATTATTCATGAATTGCTTCAAAAAGGCTTCAAGGCAGCTATTCTAACGTGTTGGAATCTGTTGTCTCCAAAGGCAGTAATTTTGGTTTATTCAACTAGAACATGTGCTATGTTGATAAAAAGAAATGCAAATACTCTAGCACTGTATAAAGATACCATTTCAAATTAAATAATCCCTAGACTGTAACTGCCCTAGAGGTAGAGGCCACGGATATAAAATTTACTTTTTGCATAGCACTTAGCCTAAATATACACAAATTCTCAAATGATTTTTGGCACAGTAGTGATTTTGATCATTTGTGGCTGAATCTATAGTCATTTTCAGTGAAGTAAAGATCTGATAATTATCCACTTTAACTCCTTAATATGAATAAATAGGATAAAACCACATTCCTCTCAGAACTCCTCATTCAAAAAAGAAGTGCTCTGTAGTGAGAATTGGGTAGCCATCAAAGTTTCATTCCACCTCATCTGAATTGTTATTTCAAAAATTAATGAGGATGATAATGTTTTAAAAAATTCACTTGCATTACTGTTGCTGGTGTGTGTGTGTGTGTGTGTGTGTGTGTGTGTTTCTTTTTTAAATGACAATGGTTGTGATTATTAATGTTGAGTTTTCCTGTCTCCCTGGGCACTAGCCTAGCACTAATCTAGTTTTGGCCAGTAACAACAGCAGTAACAGTAGCAGAGTTTGAAAAGTTTAGCAGTTGAGAACTTACCATTCAATAGAATGGTGGGATGCATTGGGGGTTGGGGGTGATTTCGGTCTTCTCTAGTGCTTTTTGTTGTTTATTACTATTTTCTTTCTTTCTTTTTTGTTATTAATATTGGTCTGGTAATACTTTTCCCTGCCTTTTGATGATAATTTTCAGTGGCCCAGATGAGTGAGTCAGCATCTCAAGAGGAACACAAACCTGCTCAGGTATGTGGCAAACGTAGGTTTCTAACCACTTAACTATGAGAGGATTTGAGAGTTAATGTTCTTGAGAAAATTGAGATGCAATATCATATTTTATCATTTAATTATTTCTCTTTTTAGTTGAAGTATTCTGTATCAGGTTGTGACAAAAGTGCTGGAAAAAAAGGGGTCAGGAGTGTCAGGGTGGCTCAGTTTATTAGGCATCTGAACTCTTGATCTCAGGTCAGTCTAGATCTCAGGGTCATGAGTTCAAGCCCCTGGTTGGACTCCATGCTGGGCATGTAATCTACTTAAGAAAAAGAGGTGTGTGTGGGGGGGTCAAATAATAGTTGGGTCACAGTAATCTGCTTCTAGTTTTGGCATTTATAACAAGTCTGTTTGAATTTGTTAATACAGCTACTTTGTGTGATTTTATTTGGTATGATACTTGCCCATTACATTCTTTTTTTTACATAAAAATCTTGGTATATTAGAGTATAAGCTGTTAGTTTTATCTTTAGCTTCTTTTGGATACCACTTACTGGCACTGTTTCCATTTCAGAAAAATGGAAAAGAAGACAAAGAAGGGTTAGAGGAAGCAACCGAAGTAAAAGAGCCTACTGAGGTAGAGTTTTCATGAATAATCAGATGTTAATGCTGGAGAGTAAACTGGACAAATTAATTTTCTTATGAAGAAGGAAAAGAAAATGTGTGGGTATTCAAAAAGATAAAATGGCAAATGGAAAAGAGCAAACTCATGTTAATCATTAAGATGATTCATTTGAGGGGCGCCTGGGTGGCTCAGTGGGTTAAGCCTCTGCCTTCGGCTCAGGTCATGATCTCAGGGTCCTGGTATCGAGTCCCACATTGGGCTCTCTGCTCCGCTGGGAGCCTGCTTCCCTCTCTCTCTCTGCCTGCCTCTCTGCCTGCTTGTGATCTCTCTCTGTGTCAAATAAATAAATAAAATCCTAAAAAAAAAGATGACTCATTTGAGTCAGTTGCAGGAAGCTTCCATGGACAGGTAAATTATTTGTGAAAAGCTATTATAAATTATAGGTAAATAAAGAGTGCTTTCTAAAACAGAACTATTATCCTGAGTACAATAACCACCCGCTTTTAGGGTAACTTCACTATTTGTTCTGAAACTGTAATTTCCATGTTAATATTTTAAGTAACTTTGTGTTTATTTGAATACAAGACTTCAATGAGGAAGAACATTCTAGAGAAAAGGAGAGGCAATTAAAAATATGAGTCTTAAGAATATTCTATTATCATTCTTTTAAAACTATGTCAGCATGAAAACAAAACAAACAAAACTACATCAACATGAGCACAAAAAAGCTATTTTGCCACCATTTATCCATAAAACTAAGCTTTAATTTCTTCAGTTAAGATAAAATCTTTTTCTTTCCCCCACAAACATAGAAAGTTATTCTAATAGTAAAACAGTAGCATTTTCAAAAGTCTAATTTCACTGTATGGTGGTCTCAAATTAGTTTTTAGAAAGTATTGTGGAGCTTACACAATACTTTGGGGATTAATGTACATCTGGAATAATATTCTTAGCATATCACTTTGTTAGCCATAGAAAGTTGTGATGACATGTTGAACCAATGCATTTTATCTTGTTGATGTAGTAAGACTGTGATTACTCTTTTGCTTCTAATACACAGCATTAAATTCTAGAAAAATGAACCAGGTATGTTTGGTAATTCCTACAAGGCACTTATCTGCATTCTTTAACTGGGAGAGTTGGTCCAACTTTGAGGAAAAGTAACTAATTTTGAAATCAATGATTGTTTTCTCCTTTCAGAGTTCACAGAGTGAACCAGGCAGCTCTGCTTTAGACACCAAGAGCAATGCGGCAGAAGCAGCAGCAGAAGAAAAATCCCAAGGTAGAGAACCAGCCTTTCCCCAACACAATGGAATTTAATACAATTATATTTTCATCAGGGATACATTTCTTATGATTTTGCCTTTAAAAAAATATAATCTCAGGGGTATTTTAAATACAATTTGGGAAATAGTTAAAAAATGTATTCCCCTCACCATCTATTAATACCTCTGAGGCCACTTCATTCATCTCATGCTTAAAGAGAAAATTTAGCTGAGAGCTGACTGACACATACTCATTAATGCAAATGTAAAATGAAGAACACAAGTGATTTGGTGGGTTTATTGTCTTTTTGGTTCTCCTTTTTACCTCTGTTCTTGGCCACACATTTATTCTGACTTCTAGACCCACCCTTAACCCAAATCCCACATAATTATGCACACTGGAAATTTATATGATCAAAGACAAAAACCAAGTGAGAAAGACATTCATCCCTTTCACTATAGTTCTTCTAACTTCAGATACTTAGTGAAATCCTGTGCAATAAAAATTCTTGACACTATATGACACTATTTTAATTAATTGAAATTTGCTTCTGTTTGGTTTAAAGCATTAAGTGTGTAGGATGTACTAGGCTGTGAAAGATTGAGTTACAATAATAAGTATTAAATAATAGTTATTAAAGCATTTTCTAAACTATAAATTGCTATATAGATACTACTTGAAACTTTTAGGTGCTTATTTTTCTCCAAAGGGTTTTCTGTCTCTTAAACCGATTAAAAGCAATTATTTACTATTTTTCTTATTAACATGTATTATACCATGTACGCGTTAAGAATAAAACTTTCCAACATTTATTCTGTTTTTATTGTAAACTTGTAATATTTTTGTAGCTTGTATTATACTAACTTGTAAACAGTTTCTCGGAAAGTCCCTCTCCACCTGCCTCTCCTCCCAGCCCCAGTTTCTTGATTTTATTTTTTCCTCCTCCCACCCTCCATCACCATTACCACTACATATACTTTACCTTAATCATTTCAGCCAGGTTTTTTTTTAAGTTTATTTATTTATTTATAATTTATTCATTTTTAATTTATTTATATTTCATTTATATATTTATTTTAATTTATTGATTATTATTACATTAATTATATGTTGATAATTATTTTAAAATTTATTTATTTATTTAATCTCTAACACACAAGGTGGGGCTTGAACTTATGACCCTGAGATCAAGAGTCGCATGGTCTTCTGACTGAGCCAGCCCAGTGCCCTTCAGCAAGGTTTCTAAACAAACTCTTAAATTTTAAACATGTCAAACAGAATTGTTATAAATTTAACTAGGTTTTCACTTTAATCAGGTTGTGACAAAATTTGCACATGCAAAACTTCACACATGTATTTCATCATGTAATTGATTGCCTCTCCAGAAAACTTATCAGTCAAGAGTTTGTGGTATTTCCTGTTCTTGAACTTCCAATTTCTGTTGTTGCTTTTCAATGTATGGTAAAGGGAAGTGTGTTTAAGTCTATTCATTCCAGTATATGATATATACTGAAAACATTGCAGTTGCTTATTGCAATATCACTTGCAATGCAATGTACTTATTTATGCAGTGACCAGTCACTATTAAGCCTAGTATTTTAAGTCTCTCATTGTAAGTGTGTCTGTGTGTGTCTGTGTGTGCGTGTGTGTAAGAAGTGGGAGTAGGTGTCGCCTGAGTGTCTCAGTCAGTTAAGCGTCTACCTTCAGCTCAGGTCATGGTCCCAGGGCAGTGAGATCAAGCCCCACACTGGGCTCTTTGCTCAGCAGTGAGCCTGCTTCTCTCCCTCTGCCACTCTGCCTACTTGTGCTCTTTCTCTGTCAAATAAATAAATAAATCTTAAAAAAATAAAGAAGTGAGAATAGGAATTGTTAATGCAATTTCAAAATACCAAAGGAAGTGTCTTTATTCTTGTTATATACTTGTCAAAATTAAAATGATGTTGTCCTGTCTGGCAGCTCTCAGAATGCACTCAAATACATATCTTTGCTAAGAAAATATTGTGTTTAAGTGTACATATGAATTCCTCATTTCTTTACCTACAGATTATACTGTTCAGGGTATGAGCTTAACTTATATTTTGAGAAGTCGTTTTTTGAAAATGTGTTTGCTCAAGATGCCTGGCTGGCTCAGTCAGTAGAACATGGGACTTTTGATCTTGGGGATTTCAGTTCAAGCCCCATGTTGGGTGTAGAGATTACTTAAAAATAAAATATTTAAAAAGAAAGAAAATATGTTTGCTAGACTCTATTCTTATTTCATGACCCTAAGATTAACAGTTTTGTAGGAATATGCATTTTCCTACAGCTATTGAATCTTAATTCTAATAGTATTTAAGAGTGCTTCTTTTCCTCCTTTATAGTCATTCTACCTTCTGTACAAATGTTAAGAATCAAGCCAGCTGAGTTTCAGACAGGGCTTGTATTTAAGGAGAACATCACACATTTAGTTGAATAGCCCTGCTGGGTCAATTTGAACCAGTTTAATCAGCAGCCAGTCCCACTAATGTTATAAGCTCTTTTGTAGAGAAAGAATCTGCTAAAGCTTATTATAATGTGGATAATAATTCATTCCTATACATGTCCTTAAATAGGTTTGTATGGAGGCCATACCCAGCAGGGAGCCATGAACTAAGTGCAAGAAATGATAAAAGTCACTTTTAAGGCTGGACCTTTCAAAATATGAATATGGAATTCTTTTGTGTCCCTACTTATTTAGTTGAAAGCATTTATGCCCAAAGTACCCGAAGTAGTCTTTGTATTTTAGAAGGTGGATTAATATAGGAGTGAAGGTATACATTTTGGGGAAGAATTTGAAAGGCTTTTAATGCTATGAAGAGTTTAGGAAGGTAATCCTGAGAAAGAATTCCAGTGCTTAGCATAGTGCCTGCCATGAAAATGAGGCATTATTATTATTGAGTGAATATATAACAAATCAATCAATCAATCTGTAAAAGGTTTAGGAATGTCCAAGCATAGACCTGCTAAGGAATCCAGTACCTGTCTGAAACTATATTCAACTGAACCCCAGAATTAATTTACCCTTGGGAAGTGCTATAATTTATGATCCTTGAACTCAGAGGTCACTCAATCAAAAGATAGCTATAGATAGGCTTGCTTAGAATCCTGATTTGTTAACCCTACTATTGCTGTGCCTCCTTTTCTTTTCTTGGTTTTTTGGCTGTAAGAGAGAAGTATTTGGGATCGTCTGGGCTGCTCAGTCGTTAGGCATCTGCCTTCAGCTCAGGTCATGATCCTGGGGTTCTGGGATCAAGCCCCACATCGGTCTCCCTGCTCAGCAAGAAGCAGCTTCTCCCTCTCCTGTTCCCCCTGCTTGTGCGCTCTCTCTCTCTCCTTCTGACAAATAAGTAAAATAATAAAAAAAAAAAGATAGAAGTATTTGCCTAGAGTTGTAACCAAATACACATCTTCTTCCACTCTGCATATCAGTGCAAACACTAGGGTTATTGGTTATCAACCTATCATAGCCAAGCACACTAATGAAGCACTAGTAGTCTACAGCAAGATAGAGAATGTCCTAGTTCATGTGTGGGTGCACATATGAACCATGGCAGATGGGTAGATATTAAGTTACTCCATATCTGTAGCTCTACCTTTAAAGCAAGAGAGGATTCTCTTTGGGTTATGCTGGAGAGGGTGAAAGCAAAGAGAGTAACTTAGAACCTGCAGAGTTTAAATAACTGCTCTCTTTCACACTTATGTATTTATTTTTTTTTTTACTTTTTCTTAAAGATTTTATTTATCCATTTGAGAGAGAGAGAGTGAGAGAAAGCATGAGAGGGAAGAAGGTCATTGGGGAAGCAGACTCCCCATGGAGCTGGGAACCTGATGCAGGACTCGATCTTGGGACTCTGGGATCATGACCTGAGCCAAAGGCAGTTGCTCTACCAACTGAGCCACCCAGGTGCCCCACACTTATTTAAAACAAGAACAAAATCATTGCATATTAATGAGCATTGTGATGAACCAGAGTGGAAACATCCCCTTCCCTCAAAAATGTGGCTAATTTGTTGGCAAATCAAACTGAGAGGTAAGGGGAAGCATTATACTACCCTCCTTACTGCCCCCATATTGGAATAAGAGAATTAGCCAACGAGGAAATAAAAACTTGGAAGGGGGTTCATAAATATTATTCACTATTGGACATAAGACATTCTTTAGATGAAATATTGGCTTTTCGAGAGTTTCCTTATACACTACTTAATTTTTTCCTGGGCAGAAAGATGGATACTATCTAGGTAGTATATAAAATTATTCTTAAGAGCATTCTCAATAAGGGTAGGGGAAATTTTAAATAAATAAATAAAACAAATTTAAAAATATTTGTGGGTAACTCCCCACCAAAAATGAGAATGAATAAATACATTGCAATGCAGTCATATGATGAAATACTATGAAGCAGTGAAAAATGAATGAACTTGTTATAACTGCATTAAAAATAATAAATTCGTAGGTAGGAATAAAACTAACCAAAGAGATTCAAGACCTATACTCTGAAACTATAAAACACTGATGAAAGAAATTGTAGATGACACAAAGAAATATAAAGATATTCCATGCTCATGGAGTAGAGGAACAAATATTCTTAAAATGTCTTTACTACCCAAAACAATCTATACATTCAATGCAATCCCTCTCACGATACCAACCGCATTTTTCACAGACCTAGAACAAACAATCCTAAAATTATTATGGAACCATAGAGGAGCCCCAAGATAGCCAAAGCAATCTTGAAAAAGAAAAGCAAAGCTGGAGGCATCACAATTCCAGACTTGGTTATATTACAAAGCTGTAGCAATCCTAAGAGTATGGTACTGACACAAAAATAGACACATAGATCAATGAAACAGAAAATCCAGAAATAAACCCACAATTACATGATCAATTAATGTTTGACAAAGCAGGAAAGAATATCCAGTGAGAAGAAATATCTTCAACAAATGGTGTTAGGAAAACTGGACAGCAACATGCAAAAGAATGAAAATGAACTATGTTCTT